TCTACGACGAACCATTTAGTACTGTTCACAGGTGGAGAATGAGAGAGGCACCTGCCTCTCTCTGGTCTGGAATCGCCGAGAAGTTTTCATTCCCCTTTTCCCAGTACACATAAGGACAAGCTGCTCATCTTCACTGCTTTGCTGACACTCTGATCCAGGTCGCCCTCTCTTCACCACCAGCAGCAGTTGAGGAATAGTTGTTTTGTTGAGGGGTGGCTCTCCTGTGCACTATAGGGTATTTAGCAACATCTCTGGCCTCTATCCACTGGAGGCTAGTAGCATGCGCTCCCCAACATGTGACAATTGAATACATCTCCAGACATTGTCAAATGTCTCCTGTAGACAAAATCATCCATTGTTGAAAACCACTACTTTAGATTGACAACTGAAGACCTCTATTAAATGTTAATTCCTCAAATTTCTCCAAACCTTTTTCTAATTATTCCAAAATCCCTTTAGTCAGATTCAATCAAGAACATGTCATTCTTATTTTGCATATTTCCTTTACCCAGCTCAAGTGCCCTTCCTCTCGTATTCTTCCAGTCTGCCTGTTTATTCCTAGGTTCCAGTCAACCACATAGGAACACTTCTGTGATTAATTTATACCCTCATAGGATCACTGCACTTTGTTGATACCTTTCTTCTCAGCATCCTTTGTGTTCTTTCTCTTCCTGATATTCCTCTGTGTTCTGTCTGTAGTCTTCATTTCTACTCGATCTAAATTCTACCAGGATAAGGTCTTCCATTCCTTGTGCTTCATTCTTTGTAACAGTGATCACTATCACCCTTGCTCCAAATCTGTATCCCCAGGGTGACCTATCTCCTGAGCTATTAACCAGTTTTTCCAACTAATAGAAAGAGCCCTGCAGAAGAGCCTGCAGAACCCTCAAAATCAATAGGTCCAAAAAATGTTCATTTTGTTGCTGACCAAAGTCATCCTCCAATCTTCTCTTGTTAATAAACTACATTATGAGGCACCCAAATGCAGGGACCTCCAAATCTGTCTGACTCACTTCAAGTAACCTGTCTCCAAAGCTGTCCCTGCTCTGTCCCCAGGGCTCTATCCCAGACCACGCCCATTCTATCGCAGCATCTGGTCTCCGTGCATCCATGCTGTCCTTTCTGTGGGTTAGCCCACCTTTTCTCCCCACTTTATTACACTACCCTGCTCATAGGTCTTTGACAGCTCCCAGTTGCCTGTTATCTAAACTCTGTAGTGTGTTACGTAGCCCCTACACCACCAAGCCACAGCCTGCTTTTCTCTTCTCCATTTCCCTGCAAACAGCAATGTACCAGCCACACCAGTACAGTCACCACTCACCAGCATGTTCCCCGCATCACTTACTCATGCTCCAGTCAGAAAACAGAAATCACACTAGGTATTCTAACACAGAAAATTTATTAAAGGAAATGGTTAAACGGGTGTTTTAGAATGTTAAGAGGAGAAGAGGACACCAAAGTAACGCAGATAGTAACTGTAAGCAGGGAGCGTCTCTGACTCCTGAGCTGAGGGATTACAAGAAAGAGGAAGGGTTTATTAGAAACTTAAAGTTTGGAGGAGAGACCCCACAGAGGTAGAATCTGCTCCTCTGAGGAGGGGTAATGCCTGGCTTTTGGTGGCAGGGGCCCCTTGGGGCTGGGCTGAAACATCTAGGGAAGGGAAGCCAGCAGGTTGGTGAAGGAACCTCCAAGGATCAGATGAAGCTGGTTCTAATAAACTGTGCACTGGAGGCAAACACTGCTGTTGGGATGAAGAGCCTTTGCTGGGGCAGTGCTGTTAGGAAGAGCCATCAAGCACAAAAAAGGAAATTGCTTCTTCCTTCCTTCTATGTCCCCTGCTCCCTCGTGTGCTCCCAGTTAGTGGAAGCCAGGAGACAACTTGCAGAGTTGCCGCCTCAACATCAGAAGAAAGGGAGGATTTAAAGTTGAGAGACAATTGCTTAATAATGCACGGTCATGTCCCCTTGTCTTTACTCATAGTTTGCCCGTACATAATGTTCTTCCCACCAATATCTGCCTGCCACACACCATTGTTCAAATACAGTCTCTTTTCTGTAACTTTCTCCAATCTTCCCCAAAAGAATTAATTACACCAGCATCTGAGCTCCGCCAGTAGTTTGCAAATACTTCCTTTACAGTCTTTTTATGTAGCGTCATAGTTATTTTTGTATATGTTCGTTTATTTGTTTTCTGCTAAATTGTGAGCTCCTTTAGGGCAGGTAGATTTACAACCACACAGCATAGCAGAGCGCCTGGCACAAAACAGATGTTGGTTGAGCTAGGTGGAATTGATAAAGGCATTTTAATGAAATTAATATTAGATGATTTCTTGTATGTATTTTATCTTTCCAACCAGCCTTGAACTCCCGTAAGAGCAGAGATCACACTTTATGTTTCTTTCATTTCTTCATGGTGTTTAGTACAAGGTTTCAAATGCTGAAGAAGAGTGCAATATTTGTTAACCTCCTAGTTTATTCATTAAACACCACAAATTTGATTCAAAATGACATGAAGATGGAGCATAAGTTTATGAATAGCAGGTAAGATGTGTAATTAGGTTTAGATGTGCTTCTAGCACATAATTCCAACAGAGAGTGCATATGATAAAGTTCTGTATTTGTTGAATAGCATAATCAAGAGACCAAACATAATGTCTTCCAGTGAATTCTGGGGTAATGAAATATATCCTAGGTTTCATTTTTCCTGTTCATCTCTTACACAAAACATATTCCCCCAATCAATGAGATTATTAATCCTGGGTTACATCTATTCCTTGTATATTTGTTAAATTGCTCACCATCATCACATCACCTAGTCGATTCCTTAAATGTAGGCAGGGTATTGAACATTAACTTAATCATCAGCTTCTTGAAATAAAGAAACCTCTGTTCAACAACTGATTTACATGCAGGTCCAAGAAGAAGAAAAATAGTGCTTTTTTCTTAAGGGAAGTGATATTTAATTAACTATTGATTTGTTCTCAATTATTCAAGGCAAGCAATTATCGATATTGACGGAACAGATATTTCCCTACCTCTAGTGTGCAAATGAAGGGAAATCTCCCATTCAGCAATCTGCTGCCTGGAACAAGAAATGCTGAGAATCTTTAACTTTAAATGGAAGCCATTGTTTGGATCTGCTTATTCCATGTTGCCCCAATTAAACAGATATTTCCTGAAGTGTAAGCAAAACAAAATCCTGAAAACCTACTTATGCTTTCCAAACTAACAACAACCAAAAGGAAAGAAGACTTTTATCAGTTTTGATCGTGAGTTTAACCACTCTCCACTTGTGGACTTTGCCTCACAGCTACAGATCTTGACATTTTTAACGATAACTCATAAAATACTATAATTTGGGTCTCATATTCATGATTTCTAAACCACCCAGTGTGAGGTAGCTTATATAATCATTAGAATCCCTGGAACACTACCTTATATATATCAGTATTTTGAGCCTGAAGGATTTCATAGGCCTTAATAGCCACTTCTGGCATTTACAGATAGCAAGTGTGGGTACATTTGAAAATTATACCAACACATTGTGCAACTGTTTTAGAGCTTGCCAAAGAACTTTTGTGGAAGGTGGTAAAACAGGGCCCTGTTTAGGGCACTTTGTCATTAACTCTGTGAGCATCCACCACCATCTTTTCTCAGTTCATTTGCACGCAGAGCGTTAGCATCTTTGTGTGTAAGAAGTTTCTTTTGAAGAAGACATGATTATTGAACATGATTAATGGACAAGGCAACATTCTCCATTGAATTATTACTTGGGAGCTGGGGGTCATTTTTTTTAAAATGCTTTGCCCTTGATAGTAATATTGTGTGTGCATGCGTGTGTGTGTGTGTATGTTTAATTCATGTGGTACCCCCTGGGGAAATCTATAACATTTTTTAAAAATGAAAAATGTTCTAAATTATGAAAAGCTACTTTTTCTGCTCTGCCCCCCACCCCAGTTCCAGAGTGGTTCTATATATTAAGTGCTTAAGCAGCATGTGTTGCTAAGAAGTGTTCTTGGCTCTTTTGCTCTTTGTTGTTGTTTTAATTTCCCTGGGTTCTATTTAACATTCTGCTAAATCAGTGAAACCTTGATTATCTAAAAGAATAGGAGACATGGAGTTAATGAGGACAACCAGAATTTTGAAGAAATAAATTATTAGAGATGAAAGTTACATACATGACAGAATGAATTTTAGTATCTGGCATTGCTTGCTTGACTTATTCAAACTGATTCTATTAATTGATATAATGAAATTTTGGTAATCAGGGTTTCATGATTGCATTTATTATTATTATTCTCATAAATCAAAGGACTTGATTTCTTTGGACTCTACTTCTCATACTTACAATGCAATAAATATCCTCATATTTATTGGCCCTCAGGGGAAAATGTGACTGCTCTTCCTCGCACTCCTCCCACGTAAAAGCTTTCTCTCTCCGTATCTGGCTGCCAGCTGCCTGCAGCATGCTGCCTGTCCCCTGCCCCCTCCCCTCCCTCCTCATACTCCAGTCTTCCTGCTCAAAGGCTGGAATCACCTGCAGAGGGAATGGCCCATTCCTTAGCGGTTCTTGGTCACATCAGCAGTACTGCTTTGCATTTTAATTACTATTCATCTGGCTTTAAAGCTCTGCATTCTTGTATCAGGCACTTGTCCTTTAAAAACCCTGGAGGTCACAACAGGTCCCAGTTCCATGAAGGGAAGATACTGCCAAACCAGGAGTATTACATTACTTTGTATTGGATAGCCTGAAACAGGCAATGATAACATCCAAGATTGCAGCAAAAATCTATATGAAAAGGACTAATACGGTGAAAACAAAGGCAGCAAACTACATTTGTTTGAAAATTGGAGTCACATGCTTAGTTTGTGGAGGGGGCGGGGGGAGCACAAGATTGATTGAGATTCTTTTTAAAGCTGAAAGCATGATGTACCAGATGAACTTAAATTGATTCTGCTTCTCCTCCCCGCGCCACTCCCCACCCTCCCCTCGTTCTGCAGCGAATGTCTGCGACAACGAGCTCCTGCACTGCCAGAACGGAGGGACGTGCCACAACAACGTGCGCTGCCTGTGCCCGGCCGCGTACACTGGCATCCTGTGCGAGAAGCTGCGGTGCGAGGAGGCGGGCAGCTGCGGCGCCGACTCGGGCCAGCGGGCGCCCCCGCGCGGCGCCCCCGCGCTGCTGCTCCTGGCCGCCCTGCTGGGGACCGCCGGGCCCCTGGCGCTCTAGGCGCGTCGGCCCGCAGCCCGCCGAGCCTGTGCCGCGGGGAAGCCGGCGCGCCCCGGGCACTCGCGCCCGACACAGGAACACACTCAGACACCCCACGCAGACACAGTGTACAAGCTAAGAAGGCCTAACTGACCTAAGCCATATCTATCAGCCGTGGACGGCACGTCCGAGTCAAGACTGTTAATTTCTGACTCCCGAGGAGTTGGCAGCTGTTGATATTATCACTGCAAATCACCTTGCCAGCTGCAGAGCTGACTGCCGATTGGAAAGGCTGGGACAGCTCCCGGACTAGACCGACGAAAACGAAATCAGCCAACCTACAGACATTCGCTGCCCTCCGTGGGGAGGCCAGCGCCTCCCGGCCGCTCGGACCGCCGCCTGGAGGCATCGATCGTCATTGCTGGCAGTGTGCTGTGGGTATAAGGAGATCTGTTCCGAGCTGCCACATTGGCCTGCTTCAGCCCCCGAGCCCCTCCCGACCTGTGCTTTAGTGAACGTTGCTCTGTAACCCCCGTTGGTTGAAAGGTTTCTTTGTCTGATGTTAGTAATGCATATGCGTAACAGCCCCTCCAGAAGCTCAAGCCAGTCATACCCCATATATCCTAGCCGCACGGAGTCAACCGGTGCGAGCACACATCCACTGGCCACGAGTGGCTCTAGGGGAAACAGAAAGTGTATCTATCCTTTTGTATTCAAATGAAGTTATTTTTCTTGAAATACTGTAATATGTAGATTTTTTGTATTCTTGCCAATTTGTGTTAGCAGACAATCCGTTAATGTACCTAACTCAAATCAGCAGAGACTGACACTTTATTTTGTCCTCTTTCGTTCTGTTTTGTTTCATTGTGCAGAGATTTCTCTGTAAGGGCAACGAACGTGCTGGCATCAAAGAATATCAGTTTACATATATAACAAGTGTAATAAGATTCCACCAAAGGACATCCTAAGTGTTTTCTTGTTGCTTTAACACTGGAAGATTTAAAGAATAAAAATTCCTGCGTAAACGATTTCAGGAATTTGTATTGCAATTTCTTAAGATGAGAGGAGCAGCCACTCAGCAGTTGCACACTCACTTTACTAATTTCTGTGTGGACTGAATATGTTCAGCTGACGAATTTAATACCCAGGAAGATGGATTGATGTTCACTAGTTTGGACAACTTCTGCAAAATATGAGACTATTTCCACTTGGGAAAATTATAACAGAAAAAAAAAAATCTAAGTGATTGCCAAGATTATGCCAAAGCCTGTTGGCAAAGTACTAAGAGACTTTTATTTTTAAGTCATGCTATTTTCACAGATTGATGTGATCATGTGACTCTAGGGATGCTGATCTATGTATCTTTCCAAATACAGTGTTTACATGGAGTATCATAAGAGGCAACCTGGGGAACCAGGGAAGTTGCAGGGAAATTGAGTGATGAGCAATTTGACTTGAATATATTCAAACTGTTTAGAGTAAATATCAAAATATCCAGCAGCAAGTAGACATAACTGCTGTTCTTGAGAATAAAGTTTGTTTTAAGTACCGCCCAAGGTGTAATAAGTTGTTTCTGCCTTTTATTAGGCCAATTACTGTGCAAGACAGCAAGGGGAAGAGGGGGAGGAGAACCCTGGCAAAGTTTCAAAGTGGCTGAAACAGTGTGTATTCCATTCCCGGCACACTGTGGTCCTACAGGTTACAAGTGTGTTAGCAGCAGCGTTTCCTGCAATCAAAATCAATTATCAGCTCAAGCCAGTTTTAAGGACAATGGAGTCCTACATGACTTGGTAGAGCAATAAGCTATGATAGTGTAGGGCTGAAAGCCTACTTGCAGTCTGAATTCATCACCCTGCTGCCTCTCCGCTGAAATGAGGGGCTTGGGGCAGGGGGGGTTCGGGGGGTATTGCAGGGAGGGATATCTTCTGATAAATAACCTGGTTAAAAAACTAGATGAAGAAACAGTGTGTCTTATTGGTTTTGTTCCCAGAAAAACCAATTCAAAGAAGGCAATCAAAGATAAACGGGTAATGCCTGTACTGTCTGCCACCCCACGTCTAAGTCGATTGAATGTTTGTTATTCAAACCAACAGTCTCTTTTGATGTAAGAAATAAGGAAAGATGGAAATAAATTAGAGCTCTGGCTTAGTACCAGAGTGGCCAACCAGAAATTGGAGATTTACATGAGAAGCATAAACAGCAGATTATATTTCAGACTCACCAAAGAATACCCATGAAAATGCCAGTAACACCCAGAGTTTGAGATAACTTATAATGAGGTGGATTTCCAATATTAAAATTGGAATTTAAGTTGTCTTATAGCTTATTAGCACAAACCAAAGGCAGACTGTTATTTCTAGCAACGATGCACTTTATCATTATCCATTCATGGCTTTGTCACGATGCTCAGGAATCAGACTCTGCACATTTCAATAAGTGGGATTCCAAAAGCTAATTCTGAAATTTAATGAAGGCCTGATCTAAATCAATTCATCTGCATTTTATCTTTATGAGGCTATAAGAATCTAAATTGATGAGGAATATCTTGCATTCAGTGTATTTAGATATAGTTTTCTGAATTTCCTAAAGTGATGTGATATGCTTTTAATAAAAAGTCACTTTTAGGTATATAAAAAATGGAAATGAAATGTTCTTTTTAATCTGGATTCTCAAGTTTTTCTAAAGGGTCTATTCTTTCAAAGAAACCTCAACTCACTGGATTTTGTTTGCTGCTTTCCAGCATTCTTGCAAAGCTGGTACCATTTACAATATTATGTCTTAAGAACAGAATTGGGGTGAAATGAATACTAAGTTGTTCACATACTTAAAGTCCTAATTGTTGCTCTGTCTCTACTTAGATTAACCCTTAAGTAGGTTAATATAGTCTTGCATATGAGTTAACCTCTCAACTTTCCCATAGAATAAAAATAGATTCCTTCCATCAATACCACTGACAAGAATAACATTTCAATGAACTCTTTGTCTAAAGGGTCATCTATATAGAAAGTGTTATTTATAGGAAACTAACCAGACTTGCCTGCATGCTGTGGGAGTGAATCCTTTCTGACCTTGTACACAGCCTAGAGGGAGAACTTTAGTTCCAGCAAAGAAAGGCCCTTGCTCAGGGGGACCCATTCTGACCCTCTTCCCACTTTTTCTCAGTAGCCAGGAGCCTAGAATTCCCTACCTAGCTGTCCTCCACCCACTTGAAGGGTATGTGTGCACCTCTTCTGAGAGTCCAAACTCCCGAAGGCAGGCAGTAACTAGTGCACATCCCTGGGTGTAAGGAGTGGCAAAGAGTGAATATGTGTGGATAGATGAGTGACTTGGGCCTGGGGGTGTACACAGGTAAGGGGGAAGAGGCCTCGTGCAGTGAAAACCATAGCTTAGGGATGGATAAGAAGGGGCTAAGGAATGGCAGGAAGATAGACTGGGGCTGCCTCAGGACCAGGGACCAGTATAGAACTCTGAGCATCTAAGGATTGTAAACCTATACCTGGGTTTCCAGTTGTTAGGAAAGTATTTGTGTCAAAATAGCAGGAGGAAACATACTGACACTATGTTAGCCTGTTGTATAACTTTTAAATATTTAGACATATGGAATCTGAGCTCACACTGGTGCTTTTGTCCTTGCCCCTGCCTGATGGATCTGCCTGGAGGTGAGCACTGCATGAGGTGTCCTCAAGTCAAATTGCTAAGTTGGCACAAATCACTCACCCGGGTAACATTAAGAAAGGTACAGGCTGGGGAAGGAAATGGGCTACAGTTCAATGGTTCCTGTAGTTAATGTCCACCTCACCTCTTCTTTGGACCTGTGGCATTACTGGGATTAATGAAGCTTTGGATGGACTGGTAGAAGCTGTGACAAAACCCTGAAATCGTATCTTTTGTTGCAACACCCTCCCTCCGCACCATCCCTAATGCAGGATTATTGGGATGTAAGACCCCATATTTTGAAATGGGACGCTCTGTGCCAAATGGGAAATGGGTTGTCATATGTCACCTGTTGCTAAATACTGAATAAAATACCTTTTTCACAGTTTCCTTCTCTCATAGGATTGCACAGAATATGTGGGCACTTTGAACTACATGTTCCATATATTTGTTACATGTGGGACTCTGTAATTATGATCTGGTGCAATTTAAAGCTTCAGCCTCAGAAACCTGACCTTGAATTTCTTACCGATCATTTTTATTCTCATTCTTTACCAATAAAGATGGCAATGGCAGCAGAGACTAAGCTGTGTCTCAGGACAATATGAATAAACAGGTAAAACTCTAGGATTTTTTTTCAGAAAACCCAGTTGGACAGACTTGATTCATAGAAATAAAACATATAGATAAGAAGCACCCCCAGGGTTTTGATCCAAATGTCTATTTGTGAGCAGTTCCTTCTTTGCCTCAGGATATGAGGGCTAGATTCGAATCAATTTCCTTTCTCAAAAATATAAAATGTTGATCTGGCACAAATATTCTGACAGTTCTGACCACTTCCCCATTGGAGAATTTTTCACTTTTAACTCCACTTTCACTTTTTTACATTAAAATAGTTTCTGATGCCAACTCCCAGCATAAACCGCACAAAAACGTAATATGATGTTAAAGAGATTAAAGAATGCCAACTATCATATTTTTAATTTTCACCAACAATCTGGGGAACATAGAGAACTTTTCCTCTTCACACACCTGGAAGGTGTGACTCACATATTACCATCTTCAGTTTGCATCTTGAGACTCAAATAACTAAAAAACAGGCAAATCCCTTGTATAAATCATATTGTTGCATTTAACCAAAAGTTAGAAAAAAAACATCTGTGTAAATTTTATACTAATATTGAAAATGCAGTTACTTGAAATCTCTGTGACAAAAAAAAAATCCTGCCTCTAATACATTTTTAGAATAGGTCCTGAAACAAATCTACAAAGAAGGCTTGAATGATTTTAGAGGTGCTATTTAGATTTACCTGGTTGACCATTTAACAAATGCTAGAATCCCCTGTCTACCTTCTCCCATCGCCTGAGAGCTCTTTTTAATTGATGGACGAATTAAAATGGGATAGTAACATTTAAAATTATGTGATGTTTTTATTAACCTGAAATGATAGCTGAGAAAATGGGCCATTATTCT